CGAATGAACATGGACGCGACGATCCCAAAGAGAAAAACTGGAAGAAATTAACGGAAAAAGAGGTCTGGGCATTTTTTGGACTATTGATAATAGCTGGTGTACAGAAGCAACGGAAAACACCAATAAAAGCGCTTTGGACTACTGAGTATTTTCTTCGCCAAGCATTTTTTCCGACAGTTATGTTCAGAAGCAGGTTTCAAGCCATTATGAGACATCTGCGATTTGATTGTCACACTGATCGTAGTTTATTGCTCAAAAATAATGATCAGATAGCGGCGACTCGGTTGGTTTATGATGAGTTTGTCAACAATTGTATAAAAAGCTACAATCCATCCCAAATCAGCACAATCGATGAAAGGCTAGTTCCATTCAAAGGAGGATGTAAATTTGGAGTTTACATGAAAAGTAAACCTGGTCGGCATGGATTGAAAGTATGGGTTGCAGCAGATTCAGAAAATGCCTACGCCTGCAATCTACAAGTTTACTTTCCGTTAGCGGCGCCGGTGGTGTAGTGGTAAGCGTGATTACCTCTCACCCCAGCAGGCCTGGGTTCAATCCCAGTCGGCGCCGCCGAGATGTTCTGAGGCATAACATCTCTGATCACGCCTTCCTTCGGATGGGAAGTAAAGCCGTTGGTCCCCGGTTCATGAGTTGATGGGTCGATATGTAGGGTCCAGGTGTGGGAGCTGCCTTCCTGGCGTCGGTAGCATTGGTGCTCAGCACGGAAAACAAGATCGACGGAAAACAAATCAAGGGAAAAAAAAAGTTTACTTCCCAGGTAACTCAGTAGATTTGGCAGAAAAACTACTTAAGAGAAAAACTTACTTGACAGGAACTCTGCGTAAAAACAAAAGGGATATCCCGTTAGCATTTGTGCCTTCAAAATCTCGCAAAGAGCATTCATCTTTAATTGGGTACAACAAACGGTTAACATTAACCTCATATGTACCCAAAAAGCACAAAGATGTTCTTGTGCTGTTCAGTAATCCTCATATTCGTGGCATATCTTCCACTGAAAAACATAAACCAAATATTGTAATGCATTACAATGCTTCAAAAGCAGGAGTTGACACTTTAGATCAGGTCACAAGAGACACGTCATGTGCCAGAATCACGTATCGTTGGCCTGTACGATTGTTTTGGGATTTTCTTGATATTGCTTCTTATAATGCGTACATTATTTTCATTACCAAATATCTTGGCTGGAACACAAATAATTCTGGCAGACGAACGCTATTGCATCTTATTTTATGGTAGAAGGTTTCGTTATTCAAAGATTCGAAAAATCTGTTGCTGGTGGAATACCACTTGAATGTCAAGATGACATGGACATGTTATTGCAGCACATCGATGAAGTACGACGAAATCTGCCAGGATACTAAAAAAATACTGAAAATTACCCTCAGAGCTCTGCAAACCCTCCTGAAAATCGTATTTCTTGCGCAATATGTAGCAATCGTCGCAAATCTACAACCCTCTCATGTGAAACGTACAAACAGTATTATTGCCAAAAACATCAATGGGAAAAGAAGATAATCAGCTGTATAAAAGACGGCTCATCAGATCGCAGAACACACGCCAAAAGACCAAAAGACCTAGGAAGACGGTTTGCGAGTGCGGAAGGTGAAGAACAGTAACATGTGTGAATTGTAGCTCATGTATTTGTTCAATCTACAGGAAAACAGAAGCTTGAACGGAAATTTATTTGGTGCATTATTATTTGTTTTTTTACGTAGGACTACGTCTGTGATTTCTATATGGGGGTACACTTTGTGACAACCGAAAATGGAACATGTAACAAAATTATGAAAGATTTTGAATGTTAATAACTCAGCTGCCCCTGGACCAATTTGAATAATTTAATCACCAATGGATCAAAAATATTTCTACGCATCTGCATGAATGTGCAATTGTTGCTATGATAATTAAAAGTATCATCGATTGCCTGCGAAAAGCGATTTCCCTAACAAAGATTTCAAAGTTGAATTCCATCCGGTCTCACCAAACGGTGTTTATTCAATCAACGCGTGGTGAGTGGTTTTGTTCTCCAGTACACAACGAAAGGCTGCCTGCAAGCAGCGAGCTGCAGCCCTCATGAGCAACCATAGAATGAGGAAGAAGCCTACCGCTATTGATCGGAATCAGTAGCTCTTCGTGAGTCGCTTTGAGCCATCTATGTCAAGCGCGTCATACTAAAGAGTATAAACAGAGAGAGCCCCGCTCAAATTCCTATTCCTACACAAAACACAAGCTCCTGCAGAAGTTAACAAATAAGATTTATTATTTAAGACCAAGTAGTCCTACGTCACCATTGTGTACAACCCCATAGAGTTGTCCCTTGAAGTTTTATCAGGACTGAATGATAAATAAAAATTTAAACAAACTAAACAAAAGACACAAATCAATTGGTCTGAATGAATGAAATAAAAATTAGGGTAGGCTAGGGGTAAGGAGTAATTTATCTTTAAGTTGTTTAAACTATTGGGGCATAAAAATAAAATAAAATTAAACATTTGGGCTTCTAAACCTGCTTGTACAACAGTTTGGTAGAAGCGTAACTCGTGGAAAATTGTCTGTATTTAAAAAAAAACTTAACCGAAAAAAAATAAAAAACCTTATTTTCCAAATTAACCCCATTTTTGAATTGTATTTTAAGATTTTATTTTCTAGGAAATCAATTTAATTCTTACACAGTTACAATATGGAAGACTTTGCACTTTTGCAGGAAAAAGTTTTACTATCAATATTTTTTTTGTCTCCTTTAGAAATATTCTAAGCAAATCAGGGGCCATTCAATTATTACGTACCCATATTTTTGATAATTTTCAAATCCCCTACCCCATTTGTAAGATTTTCTTCACATAAAAGTGACTTGTTTTATATGGAGCGTAATAAAATGTCAAAACCCCGTCCCTCCCTTAGTGCTTACGTAATTATTGAATGGTCCCTAATTTTCATCCAGCACCCTCTCAAATCAGAGTTAAATATTGTGGGTGAGAGGACTTTGAGAACGGTCACCAATATATTTAATATACCTCCGAGCCACTAACCTGAAATTCAGTCGGCATTTTTTGGAATTCACTCACTACTTTTGCAATAAATTCGATAATTTAAACCATAATAATATTCGATAATTTCTATATAATTATTTTGATATTGCCCTCACCCAACCAGGATTCATTGTATTCCGGTTGAAGTCGTTCCGTTAGCTAAGGCCGCTGACCTGGAATAAAAGCCCCGTGCGAGGTGCGTAACCAAACCCCAACCTCGACCAGCCAAAGGTCCATTGTGATCGCAGTTTCACGGATAGACTCACAGCCCACGTGGCCTGCGTCCGCAGAGGTTGAGCCAGGGGTACCGACACCGTCGTATCCAGCCAGCAGATCAACGAATGCAGCCGATCAGGTGCTTTTCGGTCCGCATGACCAACAACCAATCGCGAACCTAGGACGTCCCACCACGCTCTTCTGCAGTAGCAGCCGGCCGGCCCATCATACCCACAAACACACATACCATTGCTGTAAGTCAGAATAAAAATGTGTTTAACTTTAGTTTGCGTTGTTTTGTTTTTTTTTTATCTGGTGACTGGACTCTTGTTAAGCAGATTCCCTTGATAGAAGCCGACCCTGAGCGCAAAAGTGCCTCAAGCTCGAGCTTGCCGGGAGCAATCAAAAGAGGCCTTGAGAGCCCACCTTCAATGGTCCCCGTGGCTAGACCAGGGATCGAAGGCATTGTAGGAGGGTCCGTCTGATCCCCTATTAACACTGCTTATTAAGCCCACTGTAAGGGCACGTACCCTATTCCAGAATATCCTTACACATTATGAATATGGTCAATTGGTAGAAAAGTGACTTCTAATAATGTGATGCAGAAGCTATATTTTATTAAGCTGTAAGGGGATTATTTGTCGCACACCATGATTATCTCACCAAAATAAATGTCATTTTGAGGTTTGCATCGGTTATCTTTCAAAGTCCAGAACTCGGTTAGTAGTGCAGTTGAAAATTAGAAAGTGGTGCATTCTACTAGATAATTTTATAAGCTAGTCCACAAAAAAGTTGAGGAAATAACCTTTAAAATGGTAAAAAAAAAAACATTTAAAAATGCATAAGTTGAACCCGAGATACATTATTTTGAAAAAAAAAAAGTGTTACTTAATTTTCAGTGTGTTAGTCGAAGAGTACTAATAATTGAAATTTCAAAAGAACTAAAGTTGAAAAGACGCATCTGGGCCACTTGATAAGTTATACATGTAAACCACACAAATTCAAGAAATATTGATCATTTAAAGTAAAAAAAAAAACAAAATTTTATACATTGGAAAATGTTGTGAATTTTCTTTCGCAAACAATGCTGAAACGTTACGTTTTTTTCTCGAACATTATGATCATTTTATTATCGTTCATGCTTAATAGAAGTTCTAACGTAGATACAGTATAACTGTGATTTTTCTCTAATCAATCCTGATAAATACTGATAATAATGTGAATTTAATCCTAACGAATAGCATTAAAAATTAAATATAAGTGTACGTCAAGTTTTGACAAGATAAAATTTCTCTTCAACAGGATACAAATCATACTTTTACTGAAAAAAGCTTTGCGATCAAAATGAAATCCAAAATTTGCTGAAACCAATAAAAAGAAAGCTTTTCCGACACATTACATATTAAGTCTTTCTCGTGTGTGTGAGTGTGAGTGAGTGTTAAGTTGCATTACCTAAATATTGCCTAACAGTAAAATAAATAATTGCTTGCTTCTGTTCACATGCTTCGTTACAGTACGAAATACTAACAACTCTTCAACTAGCTGTATTGCGTTCTACTTATGTTTTTTGGGAAAAGATACAGAGTCATAACAGGAGAAAAAAAAACTATCAACTTAGATCCTACGCGAATCGACCGCCAACCGGTCGGAGATAACAAGTCGCTTAACGCCTAAGTAACGATGATTAAAACGTAATATTGTACATGTCCCGGCGAAATGATTTTTTTTTTATCGTTTTCTGTCGTCTCAATCGATTTGTCAGCAGAAACGGCTCTGCCTAAGTACGTATGCATTGCGGGCAGTGTTAAACGCTACCTCTTAATTTAGCATTTGCTTCTTTTTCTTGTTATTATTGGAAATCAATCACTGGTCTGGATTTATGTGTTGATGTGCATTCAAAATTCAGAAATCGTTTGCCGGATTTATCCAACGGAACCGTTACTCGGTGGTCGATTGGTCGGCGTGGTGTCCCCCTTGCTGCTGCTCCTGGTGGGGGTGGGAGCGGCACACAGGGCACACGGACATGGACCACCCAGTTTCTTGGCCAGCATCGATTTCAGCTTCAGAGCCGGCCCCAGTTTCATGCCGAGCGAATTTGTCAGGTGTTCCTCGGTTAGCAGCGGCAGCCCAGCACCGTCGATGCTCTGGTCACGAAAGTTCTGTAAGTAGAATGGGAAAGTTTAGAAACGTGGATTAGTGCTTTTTTCCGGAACGAATGGGAAGCTGTTTGATTGAAATAGTAATATGCACATGAAGAAGAGATCACTGCCTCAGATTGATCCCAATTCAAGGGGAGTTCAGTTGATCGATAAACCACATTGTAGGATTCCATAAAATTTCAAACCGCACACAGCTAATAATAGGCTCTCTAAACAGCACCGCAATCAGGAAATCAGGGCAACGCGGTTTTGATGAAACTCAGGGTACCGTGAACAGAGAAACAAGACAACATAAACCATATCCTAAGCCATAAACTGCATTCTACGGTCGGCGCTCACGCTGCCACATGCAATATGCAGATCAGGGCATGGTGTATAGTAATCGCAGGCGGCTCCTCCTCTCACCCGGCAACGATCGGTCGGTGGAATGTTGGAAGCAGAGCAGAGCACACGATATGTGTGTAGTAAAATGCAAGACAGCACAATGAGCTCGCCATAACATGAACAACAGCAGCATAAGCATCATCATCATCATCATCTTCTTCCCTTCCCTCGAGAGGCAGGCGAAAGGATTTGCGGCACGCGCCCCGGGCTAACATCGTCACGATCCTACTATTAAAGGCGATTCGTAATAACGGGGTGCATTTGTTAACTTCTTGGCTTTGGATTGGCGGCTTATCTCCGCTGTTAGACCAGTTTGGGGGCTGGTTTTTCGGGATGCTCTTTTTTTTCACTCTCCCGTTTGCCACCGCCGCGCCGCAAGGAATGCTACGGCTGAGGATTTCTCGGCTGGTGTTGGCTGCTGATGCATCCCGTTTTGAGTTCGGGATTGGAAATTTGACCTTGAATTAGGAACGAATCGATTTCGACGAAAGCGGCAGTAAATCACTGCAATTAATAAATTGGGATTGACTGCTGCAAAAAGACAGTCGAATGTTGTTTTGGGCAAAACATTTCTGGTAGAAATCCAGTAGAATTTCAGTGGTAATGATTTCTAGACATGCTAAATTTACATACTAATCAGGGAGTTTTGATCTATGGAACTGTTCGGTAAAAGTTTGAAAACCAGTGAAAAGTTAAACAAATTGAAAACAAATTCCGAATTTGTACAGCTTTTGTTCAGTTAGCCACATTTAATGATAGAAAATAAAATGTGTGGATTTTATTGGTTTTTATACAAGTAACGGCCATTTGAAATTATACCGACTTATTCAGGTGTTCAGAAACCCGGTAAAATTTTAACGACTTCGGTGATCTGAATTCACTTCTTCGGCATCTGGGACCAGAAGCGCAAACTTCATGAAATTGTTGTGGGGCAAGATGTTTTTGGAAATAGTTCATTTTACTAATTGGTAAGAGTTAATTAGCCTGACAGAACTGATGATATTGATGTTGTTTCTTGCAGTGGGAAAAAATCGACATGAAAGGAGCAAAATTCAATATCTCTGATCAGCGCTGATTTAACTTTTCCAAATATAATCATTCTTATGGGAAAATTCTCAGAAATCCAGTGGAAATAGTTTCGTCTTGTACATAATAGGGCAAGTTGGGGTTTTTGGAGCATTTTGCTCAAATTTCTTAAAATTTTGTTTAAATGACTTAAAAATACCATATTGAATTATATTTCTACGGTATGTGAGGTTCACTTAAGATTACTTTTTTTCTTAAATAAAAGGGGAGAATCGGGCAAAATGTTTAGTTATCTAAGCTCTGCGCAAGATGAGCCAAGCATTTTTTTGGTGCTTTAAACATAATACCAATGATATGATAAACGAGTATTCAATATTACATGCGTGAATTTGAATGCTACTTGATTTATTATATTAAAGGGGATAATCGGAAAAAATGGGTAATAAGCTGATGTCAACACAAAATGATACCATCACCATTAAATTCCTCACACATTTTTACAGAGGGAAAGTGCCCGAACGATAACAGGCCTTTATTCGTATAAAAGTATATCATGACTTGTTTTCTTCAGTAAAAGGGGGAAATTGGACAAAATGGGTAATTTACTGAAATTTTCTCCATTCATATGAAACCATCACCATCCGATTCCTCAGTCATTTTTACAGTAATACAGTACACGAGGGTATAATATGACAAGCACTTACGCGTATAACCGTGTAACACTACTGATTAACTTCATTAATAGGGGAGAATTAGGAAAAAATGGCTCCATACATCAGCTTACCTTTCGATGCAATTTAAAACGTTATTTGATATTTTGATCTCTAAGGTATTTCAGAAGTAAAATTTTAAGTTTTATAAAACAACATTCATAAAACCCTGGTCAAGACTGCTTTGCCATTGATGCATCCACCAAAACCTCATTGATGCTAGAATCTGTCTAGTTGCCCCCCCTTCTGGAGAAGGTTCTGAAGGGTATATTTTCGAAGCACTTCAAGATTGATTTACTGCAAAATGGTTGTACGATAAACGCATTGATATCCATTTCAAAACCGTATTTGAGCTACAATAAAAGCTATTTGGCAACAATTAAATCCATTATCCGAGCCATTTACCCTAGCTGCTTGCTAAGTTCACTAGAAAAACAACAACCAAGATTAGAAAGGATTCATAAATACCATCCGATCTTATCAAAATAATTAAAATAAAAACTTATCGTAAAAAAAAAACCTGCCAAATTTCCAAAACTATAAAATAATTCTCATGAAGTGGCCTAGTTTTAGGTGCCATATAAAGTTTGATGTGAAATGTGCGTGAAAACATCGAAAAACTTGAGTCCGCCCACGGAAAACATCGATTTTACTAATTATTTTACATTAAGAAAAAAATATATTCTTCAGATCGATCATTAAGCTTAGCCAAGATTTTTGTTTCTCATGATTTTTGCATTCTAACTATTTTCTCATTGCTAAATTAACAAAACACTGGATTCCTGAGACTTTTTCAAATTTTGACTTTTATGCTCCACAGTGCTCAAACGGTCCAAAATCGGATCCTTATTAGCCTCCCAAAATTTGAACTCATTTTGTAAAAAACAGATTTGGCACAAACCATTTTAAGTTTATATGGAAATTACTATGGGAAATCCAAACTTTTTGTTTATTGTATTCTAGTCTTTTTCCGTATTGCACTTTTAAAAAGTTCTATAGCTATTCTTTTCTCAGCTACAACTTTGCACAACACAGTTTTTAAGCCAAACATCAATTAAACTAGTTATTAATTGTTCAACAGAATGAAAATCTTATGGCATGATTAAGCAGCTGTTTTGTGGGAAACACTGTGCACTGCAGTATAACATAGTAGCCATGAACACCAATGTTGCCTGCTGAACAGTTGATTGAGCATAGTCATAAGACATTAGCGGCTTGAATCATTAATAACTTTTGATGCTTTTTTTTTTAACTAGTTCGTTTATTTGGGAGGCTCAATCGCGTTAGCTTTACGGAGCCGATAGTTCATTGTTCTTTGTTTGTAACAAAATTCACTTAATTCTATGTCTAGTAGGAGTTGGGCCGAATACTCGCGGCTTACTCGAGGTTAGAGAGGTACATTGTCGAAGGATAGGATCAGGGGAGGAGTTTGGGGGTAAGGTTTCGTTGTCTCATCAGAGCGTTGTCGCCAGTATGAATGGTAGTGCGGTTCTAGTTTCGTCTGGAGTTCGACCGGCTATGGTGACCAGTGGGCGACGATGAGACTCATCGAGACGGGGGGACAAGACAAACAAAAACTATTAAAGAGAGACAAAAGACAAGGAATTAAATTCTTATACTAGACATTTGAAGAAACACATAAACCGACTGCATATAGCAGATATCGCGAGTTCCCAACACGTCTCTGATAGGAACATAGGGTTGTCTTCCTTGGGCCTCAAGGGTATTCAAAAGTCGCTCTCTGGCGGCGTAATTATCCGTACATTGCCAAACTGCATGATCGATGTCATCGTAACCGTTTCCACACCGACAGATGTTGCTGTCTACGAGGTTTATTCTATTGAGATGAGCATCTAGCGAGTAGTGGTTGGACATAAGTCTACTCATCACGCGAATGAAGTCACGACTTAAGTCCAAGCCTTTAAACCACGCTCTCGAAGAAACATTAGGAATAATTGAATGTAACCACCGTCCAAGATTTCCAGTGTCCCAATCGGTTTGCCAACTCGAAAAGGTACTCTGACGCACTAAATGGTAAAATTCATCGTGTGAAATTTGCCTGTCATAAAATTCGCCTTCCTGCGCGCCCACCTTTGCGAGAGAGTCCGCCTTCTCATTGCCTGGGATTGCGCAATGTGATGGGACCCATACAAAGGTAATCATATATGATCTTTCGACCAGTACACTCATCTGCTCCCTTACCTTTGAAAGGAAATAAGATGAGTGCCTACTTGGTTTCATCGACCGAATAGCCTCAATCGAACTGAGACTATCCGAGAAGATGAAGTAATGGTCTGCGGGCATGTTGGAAATCATCCCCAATGCGAAGTTGATTGCTGCCAGCTCAGCAACAAAAACGGAACAAGGTTCCTGGAGTTTGCGGAAGGCGCTAGAGTTTTCATTGAAGACACCGAAGCCAGTGGATCCACTGAGACGAGACCCGTCTGTAAAATATCTGTTTACGCAATTGACGTGTTGGTACTTTTCAGTAAAAATACGCGGGATAATAATAGTTCGAAGTTGATCTGGAATCCCGTTAATCACTTGTTTCATGGACAGATCATATTCAATTGAGGAACTGCGATTGGTGAAGTGAGCACGGTCTGGAGTATAACAAGGAAGACACATATCCGACGATATGTAGTGGTGGTAGATTCTCATAAATCGAGATTGTGAATTCAGCCCAAGAATTTCTTCAAAATTTGCAATTATAAGTGTGTTCGTCACTCCGCATTTGATTAGTATTCTGAGAGAGAGCTCCCAGAAACGGTTCTGGAGGGGTGTTACTCCTGCCAGAACTTCGAGACTCATGTTATGCGTTGAGTGCATACAGCCAAGAGCAATACGCAGACAACGATATTGAATTCGTTCCAATTTTAT